CAGCACGTCATTAACATGATCATTAGTGGGGTTGAAGTTCCCCAGGGGCTGATGCCGAAGCACCCCAAAGTATCCATCACAAGGGAAAACAGGCTCAGGATTACGTGCCAGAGGGAACCTTGTCTTTCAATGATGAGGATGCTGAAGGGATCGTGCAGCCCCACAATGATGCACTGGTAATATATGTACTCATAAATAAATCTCTAGTTAAGCGTGTGTTAATTTATCTAGGTAGCTTGGCCAACATCATCAGATCGAGGGTCGTGGAACAGCTTGGTCTACGAGATAAGATCATGCCTGCAGTCCGAGTTCTAAATGGATTCAACATGACATGTGAGACCACTAAAGGGGAGATAACATTAATGATGAACGTCGCTGGGACCATTCAGGAAGACCAGTTCTATGTAATCGAAGGAGTCATAAGGTACAACGCCCTATTCGGAAGGCCATGGATCCACAACATGAGGGAGGTACCCTCGACTCTGCACCAAGTGATGAAATTCCCAACGCCAGGAGGGATAAGAACAATTTATGTAGAACAACCGGCTGCAAAGGAGATGTTCACGATCAACGAGGTGATCCTGATATCCGCACTTACAATGACAAAAGGTCTGGGTTCCGCCGTAAAACAAGAAGCCAAATAGCAATTACCTACACCGGCCCCGGCCGAACTGGAGAAGCAAGGGACCAATGAAGACGACGATTACGGGGTTCCCAGGACTTTTATAGCCGCCGACGATTCTGATGCTACCAAATCGACAATTGAGAAATTGGAGCAAGTCGTACTGATCGAGCACTTGCCCGATTGAAATGTATATCTGGGCACGAGGTTGAGTCCCGAGCCTAGGAAAAAATTCATTCAATTCCTTATAGCTAACATAGATTGTTTCGCTTGGTCCCACCTTGATATGACAGGGATCCCGCCGGAAATAACCACTCACAAGCTAAGCCTGGAATCTAAACTCCTTCCCGAGGTCAAGCATGTGTTCATCAAGGACGAGGTATCTAAACTCCTTAAAATAGGGTCCATCCAGGAGGTTAAGTACCCAGACTGGTTAGCAAGCGTAGTAGTAGTCCCTTAAAAGGGAAACAAACTAAGAATGTGTCTAGACTATAAAGACCTGAATAAAGTGTGTCCCAAGGACTCTTTCCCTTTGCCTAATATCGACATGATCGATGCAACGGCCGGCCACGAGATACTCAATTTTCTCGATGCTTATTCCGGGTACAACCAAATTCGGATGGACCTGGGTGATCAGGAAATCTTCATCACTAAGTACGGCACCTACTCCTATAACGTGATGCATTCGGACTAAAAAATGCCGGTGCCACTTACCAACGCCTAGTAAATCGGATGTTCGAAGAACAAATATAAAAATCAATGAAGGTTTACATTGACGATATGTTGGTTAACTTCCTGCCAGCAGAGGACCATTTGAAACATTTGTAAGAAACCTTCAGCATATTGAAGAAGTACAATATGAAGCTGAACCTGGAGAAATGTGCATTCGAAGTCGGGTCCGGGAAATTCCTCTGGTTCATGGTATCTAACCGGGGAATCAAGATTAATCCCGATAAGATCAAGTCCATCAAAGAATCACTGTTGTGGACAACATTAAGTCCATTCAAAGGTTAACCGGAAGCATAGCCGCCCTGGGGCGTTTCATCTCGAGGTCCTCCGACAAGAGCCACCGGTTGTTCTCACTGTTGAAGAAAAAGAATAACTTCTCATGGACCCCGAAGTGCCAACGAGCCTTGGAGGAACTCAAGCGGTATCTCTCGAGCCCACCTCTACTTCATACTCTGATGACAGACGAGCAGTTATATATGCACTTAGCAGTATTCGAGATAGTGGTAAGTGGAGTCCTGGTACGGGAAGAGGAAAGTTCGCAATTTCCGATCTATTATGTTAGCAGGACTCTAGGCGAGGCCGAAACTAGATACCCTCACATAGCAAAACTGGCGCTTGCTTTGCTAAGAGCCTTTAGGAAGCTGAAACTGTACTTTCAATATCACCCCATATGTGTTGTAACTACTTACCAATTGAGGAATATAATGCATAAACTCGAGCTCTCGGGACGATTGGCCAAATGGGTCGTAGAGATCAGCGGGTACGATATCGAATATCGGCCCCGGACCGCCATTAAATCTCAAAAATTGGCAAACTTTGTGGTCGACTTTACGCCAGCCCTAATACCCGAGGTGGAAAGAGATTTGTTGTTAAACTCGGGGACCTCTTCGGGAATCTGGACCTTCTTTACGGATGGTGTCTCGAACGCAAAAGGGTCCGGACTTGGCATCGTATTGAAGCCAACAACATGCAATGTAGTTAGACAATCTATTAGGACTGTAAAATTGACTAACACCGAGGCCGAATATGAGGCCGTGATTGCAGGTCTCGAACTGGCCAAAAGCTTGGGGGCAGAAGTGATCGAAGCTAAGTGCGAGTCCCTCCTTGTGGTGAACCAAGTTAATGGGACGTTCGAGGTCAGAGAGGAACGAATGCAAAGATACATGGATAAGCTGTAGGTAACGTTACATCGGTTCAAGGAGTGGACTTTACAACATATACCTCGGGATCAAAATAGCGAGGCCGATGCCCTTGCTAATTTGGGATCGTCAGTCGATGACGATGAGTTCAACTGGGGGGAAGTCGTGCAACTCATGAGATCGGTAGTGGAAGAAGTTCACGCCGAGATAAACTCAATTATCCTAACTTGGGACTGGAGAAACAAATATATAGAGTATCTGAAGACCAGAAAACTGCCCTCAGATCCTAATGAATCGACGGCTCTACGTACGAAGGTGGCCCGGTTCAACTTGTCCGGAGACGGTACCCTGTTCAGAAGAACATTCGATGGCCCACTCGCAATATTTCTAGGATTGGGAGATACCGAGTATGTTCTGAGAAAGGTCCACGAAGGCACCTTCGGAAATCATTCGGGCGCCGAATTATTAGTTTGGAAAATAATCAGAGTCGGCTACTACTGGATCGACATGGAAAGGGAAGCGAAGGAGCTCATACGAAAATACGACGAATGTCAAAGGCATGATCTGATGATTCATCAGCCCGGGAGCTACTACATTCGGTCTTATCACCCTAGACGTTCATAAAATGGGGAATGGACATTGTCAGCCCCCTTCCATGGGCACCCGGTATGGCTCAATTTATATTATTTATGACTAACTATTTTTCTAAGTGGGTGGACGTCCAGGCGTATGAAAAATTCAGGGAGAAGGAAGTCATCAATTTAATTTGGGACCATATAATATGCCGGTTCGGAATTCCGACCGAGATCTTGTGCGATAATGGGAAACAGTTCATTGGCAGCAAAGTAAGCAAGTTCCTCGAATATAAGTGGGAACGGGCAAGCAGAGTCCACCAACAAAACCATACTACAAAACCTCAAAAAGAGATTGACCGACACCAAAGGAAAATGGAAAGAAATTTTGCCTGATGTCCTATGGGCATACCGTACGACCTCGAAGTCTAGTACCGGGGCCACCCCGTTCTCGTTGGTTTACGGCGCTGAAGCTTTAATGCCTGTCGAAATAGGGGAACCAAGTCTTAGGATCAGTTATGCAACCGAAGAGTCAAACGATGAGGCCATGAATACAAGCCTGAAACTGCTAGATGAAAGGCGTGAGGCCGCCCTCGTTCGGGTGGCCGCTAAAAAGAAACAAATTGAAAGGTATTAAAATCGAAGAGCCAACCTTCGACACTTCGGTATTGGGGACTTGGTGTTAAGGAAAGTGACGTTGAGAACCCGTAACCCGAACAAGGGGAAGTTGGGGCTGAATTGGGAAGGCGCATATCGAATTATCGAGATCACCAGCAAAGGATCATACAAACTCGAAGCAATGAATGGTAAATGACTACCAAACAACTGGAACGTGGCCCCACATAAAATGATAATACTGTTGAGGTACGACACCATTCATCTATTTTCTTTACATATTAGACTAACACGTGCAAGTAACGATCAAGGGACGATACGACTATTAGGCCCGAAAGCACGCGTTGCACTCTTTTTTCCTTAGACCGATTTTGTCTCTAATGGGTTTTCTCGTAAGGATTTTAATGAGGCAACAATGGATCGTGCTAACATAGAACCGAAGACCGGAGTCAAGGAGCACATCAGCAGTATCCGAGGCCTCTCTATGATCGACCTCGGATACTGGGGGCCATCACCCTCGGACAATAATTTTGGCAATGAGAAAGACTTTATGCTCGAACTACCTAGGCTCGGTGGATAGGATTTATTGTAAGGGCCAAATGGTCAAATGAACCGTTCCCACATAGACCATCCAAGCTCTGACACGAAGCATGTACAAATTTGTAACCTTGTATGGAAATGAAAGAAAGTTTCTCCTTGCGAATAAATATTTTGTCCCTTAAAAATTTCTACATTCGGTCCCCTAAAGATATTGAGCCCAAGGGTAATATCTATCTAGATCCAAGAGGTCACCCTCACTCGGGGACCATCGTCCAAGACAGGCTCGGGCGACCCGGGGTTTCGAAGCCCGGCACAAAGCTTATTAGGTAGTGCCCGAACTATAAAGGCTACGGCCATCCCCATTTGAAACTATCATCCTGGTCAAGCCCGGATAACTCGAGGTAACAAGCCCATTAGGTAATACCCGAACTTAAAAGGCTACGGTCGTCCTAGAATGGCTTCGAGACATCCGAGATACGTAACCAAAACATAAGGCTTTCAAAATTTCTAAACTGGTTCGAAGGTTACCCTCGGCAAAATTATAAAAATCCTAAGTGAACATTTTGGGGAAAGCTTCCGGGCATACCGAACCCCATCCCCCCACCAGCCTTAAGCAAAATAGTATCGAAAACAAGCAATGTTTGAACCTCCGAATAAGATCCAATTATTACATGCTAAGGCATCCGAAATATTTGCANATATATGCAAATTTTTACAAAGGCCAAACGGCCTAAACAAAATACAGAGGTACAAAAGTAAAAAATTACAAGGCACCTAAGAAGCCTAATCCTCACCAGAGCCCGCCTTATCATCGAGGCCGTCGGAATCCTCCCCGTCCTCGGACCCGTCCGAACCCTCAGAATCTTCCTCATCCTCGGGGTACTCATCCTCGATCCTCTTAACATTTTCAAGCTCGGTCGATGAATCGAACCCCCGAGCATGAACCTCTTCTAGAGCCTCTCTCCGAGACTGCCACTTTGCATGATCGACTATGGCGTTTAGGCGCTCCTGAGTAGCATTAGTATCGTCTTTGTACTGGGCCACCATCTCATCGTCATCGGCCTTGGCTATTTCAGCCACTGACTTAGCTGCTTTAAGCTCCTTTGTGAGGGTTTCCCGATCGGTAACAACCAAGCTAAATTGAGATTGGAGCTCCCCAATTTTCTGAGACCATGCCTCTGCCTTCTCCTTCATTGATCGAAGTTCGTCCTCTGCCGAGGCCAATTTCTCTTGGGTTATTTCCTTTTCAGACACCAACCGGTCCATCTTGCCCTTCAACTCCTCGGCCAACGCCTTGACTTCGTACATCTCAACCCGGAGCTGGTCAACCCGATCTACCTTTTGCTGGACCTGTGGACACCGTGCCTAGCTCATCATCACTAACTTCAAAATTTTTTACATGTTCCAATATATCGGCATGTTCCTTCTGAGTCGCATCTAACTCGACTCGAAGGCTCTTGATTTCACCCCTGCGTTGCTCGCTGAGATGTTTATACATGTTTCTTTTCTCAGCAAGCTCTTTGGCTTCGACCTCGAGTTGGCTCAACTCATCTCGATACCAGAGGAAGGTCTCGTGGTGGAGCACCGAGGCCTGCAAATACGAGGAAAGATATTAGAATTATCAAAAAATTAGTTCAAATATCAAAAGAAAAATTGGAATCAACAAGGATTATCAAGAGTTACCTGGTTCAGCGCATGTTGTGCTTTGTTGAACAGGCATGGCGAGTCTACCTCATTCATTTTGGCCTGGTCTTCCTCAGTCACCAGGCACCGGAGGTAACTAGCTATCCCTACGGGGGCGGAAAGAACCTGGGCATCCTACGGAACGGTGATGATAATTGACCGCTTCCGACCAGGATCCACACTCAGGGCACGAAATCGATTGACCAGTCTCGAGCTCGAGTTAGGACCACCTGCCAAACTTGAGGATGTACTTTTCCTCAGTATCTCTAAGTTGCCCAACCCGGTGATGTCCTCCGTGGTGGTGGAATCCACGCCATCAAAACAATAATAGAGGGGATCGTCCGCTTCGTGGGCTCCCTCGTTGGGTCGTTCTTTCACAGCTTGGACCTCGTTGTACATCGACTCGGTAAACGAGGGTAACTCGGTGATATCTATAACGCCAAGTGCCTCCTTCGAGGCACTACCCGCATCCCGGGAAGCCTCAGCCACAACCTCCTCATCGGCCTCCCTGGCTTGAGGCAGATCGGCCTCCTCATCAGCCTTCCTTGCCTGAGGCAGATCGGCCTCACGACTCTCTATTTCGACGCCCCCCGCTCTTCAAGGGACGACGGCTCGTGGAGCACAAAAACAAAAGGCTCTTCCTCCCCGGGCTTGTCCCTAAGCCGATAAAGCATGTCCGAAGTTGGTACTCAGGAACTGATGTTTTCCTTTGGCTTGTGCACCAGCCTTCTCCTTATTTTCTTTTTCTCCGAGCTCGGGGAACTCGGAGCCCTACTCCTCTTCTTCTCTCCGGCTTGCCCCGGAGCAAGAGACTCAACTGGCAAGTCCTCGTCCCCAACCGAAGGCCTAAGCTCGACGTTCTTAGGCAAACCTGCATAGGAAAGTAAAGTAGATAAGGACGTGATGTTAGAAGAAAAATATTCACTACGACTTGTTCGGGAAAAAGGACCTTACCATGGGAACGGGCCTCCCAACGAACTTTTGAAAGTTTGCGCCATGAGCGCTCGAAATAGGGCATCTATGATATGATGCCCTCGACCCACTCCTTGATTCGAGAGATAGCATTCAGAACCCGAGAAAGGGCTACAACATAACAAGCACCGATAAGAAAAAGGAAGATAAGTCATAAAATCAACACTTAAATGGAATACTTACGTGATGCATTCCACCTTTCGGGGAACGGCCTCCACTAGGCAGGTACCAGGTCTGCGGTCCTCACTCGCACAAAACGTACTTGCTAACCCCGATCCCGATCCTCGTCAATGCTCGAGAATGGGGCTTTGCTAGCCCGGCGTACTAGCTTTATCAGTCCCCCTGGAAGATTATGGGACTGTATAAGCGCAGTAGATGATTAATGGTGAACGAGAACCCATCAATATTTTTTTTTAAAACGGAGGAGGATCACAATCCTCCACAGTGATGCATAAATATGGCCTAGGCACACGTTGTACCTCTTGCAGAAGTCTAAAATGAACGGGTCTACCGGGCCCAATGTAAAAGGGATAAGTATAAACACTTAGATATTCCTCGACATGGGTGGTAATGGCCTCTTCAGGGTCGAAGACCACGATGTCTTTATCGGCCCAGTTGCAGTCTTTTCGGACCGTGGGGAGGACCTCTTCGGTAATTGGGAAAATGTATATCAAGGCCTCCTCATACCGACCCTGTACAGAAGAAGGCTTCTCAACCTTAAAGTCGTCGGTGACCGAACAACCACCGGGAATGAACATCTTCAAGGGGGCTCTTCTGCCGGTTCATCAGCGATTGTATCAGGGAAGGTCTCCTCGATCTCAGTGGTCGTTCGCGAGGAAGAAGGAGCATCCTTCTGAGGAACAGATTTCGAGGTTTTTGCCATTGTTATGGAAGAAAAGCTTGGAACAGATGGAGAAAGAATGAAAGTTGAAAGATCAGACTTGTTGACTTGGGTAGGAGATGAGTAAATATTTTCGCAAAATACTGAAGAACCTTGGGTAATAGGGGTAAAAACGCTAGAGAATATTGAAGTCCTAAAGTTACGAGGGTAGAAGATTTGGTGCAAAGTGAAAAATGGATAACAGAGGGGGTATTTATAGGAGTTCAGCGATGTTTCACGTCCAGGGACGGCCGACTGGTGGCTGACATGCATTTAATGCCATTATGACATGACTGACGAGACGTTTCAGATGTTTTGTCATTTCTGCCGCGATGTGTCGAGGTAAGAATCAGAAGCTGATGTCGTTTCTCATCATTTATTCTCCGATAAATGAGGAAAATATCTGTATACGGTTAAAATCGAACTCGTGGTACACCCCGGTCTCCGACATAATAAGCCAAGCTCGAGACATGATGACATGGTGCCGAAATCAGGTCAAGAGTCTCTTCGAGTCATGGTTCGGAATCGGTCCTAGCCTTGAACGACTTCGAAGACTACTGTCGGGCAATCAAGCGCGTCCAACGGAGGGCCGTTATGTCCTGGACCGACCGGATATACCTTTCGTGCTAAGGCCTGAATAGATCGCTTACCACCGGAGCCATCGAGACCACGCCCCCCAGATTCAGTTCAAGCTCCAAGAACTCAGAAAAGCCTTACCAAACGGTTGCACATGACTAACGAAGGGCCGTGATATCAATGCCCGACTGGATATCACGGCGCGGATCTCGGTCCGTATCAGCAACAGATCAGTGATTAACGAAAAAAAAAGATTTTTACCTTTGTTAGAATTGTACTAGGGATGAAACTATCCTACTATATAAAGAAAATGATTTTTATTCAAAGGACATACTGTAACACACATTCCAAAGCAATATATTATTATTTTTTCTGTTATTAGCTCTTTCTTTTGTTCATCAGTACTGGCCATAGTGAGCTCGGATCGAGGGAGAGTACTTCATTAAGGCTGAAACTATCCTCCCTGCGTGATTTGAATTCATTTTATCTTTGTTTATTCAAATTTGACTTAATTTATCGCTTTGTATCAAATTAATCCGTATATCCTTAAAATCACTTACAAATTTAATTGTTATCCGATTTTGAGGGTAAACAATCTTATTACAAAAAATTCGTTACTTCCCCTCAATCTTCTATTTTCTATTTGTTCATTCATCTTTTCCCTTTTTCCTACGGTTAGTCCATAAATTTATAAACTTTACTTCCATCTTCATGCCTTCAAATATCCATTAATTTTCCGGGGAATTCCTAATATTCTGCTTTTTGCAATTTTAATATTCCCATCATCCATACTATAAATTCCATACTATAAATTGAGAAGAAGTTAAAAAAGAAAATTTTGAGAAAAAGAAATCCTTTAGTAAAATCCAGAGAGATCCAAGTATAGAGAAACTAAGAAGTAACTGTCATCACAGACAATGTAAAGTCGTAATTATAAAACTTACCATATTCGGCACCTTCGAGTAGTATATCCAGCATCGAATAAAACATCCAATAGGATATAGCAAACACTTTTTCAACATTCTTTTCCCTAGCACAAAAAAAAGAATTGTATTCATGCGTCATATATATATAAAAATAAAAACGCATACTATATTATTTCTTTAATCGTCATTCAAATGCACCACAAAATTAATAAAGTCAACGAGTGTAGGAGACAAAGTAAGTCAAACATTTACAAACGTGAATAGATTGTAAATGTAAATGTTTACATTTACAAACGTGAATGCACCCTTTTGATTTTCTCTATATTCTTATCCGTTTTGGCTTTTTCCCTACTTTTTGTTATTTTATCTTATTGTAAGAATAAAGGTCTTAGTTATTACTTCTTCACCCATTTCTGTTCCTTATTGTACAAGACTTATTGTAGGAGTAAATATCCGTTTATGTTTTTTTCTTTTTACAATATGAAATATGAAAGAGTAAGAGTAGTAATAATTGAGACATTTACTCCTACAATAAGGAATAGAAATGGGTGAAGAAGTAATAACTAAGACCTTTATTCTTACAATAAGATAAATAACAAAAAGTAGGAAAAAAGCCAAAACGGATAAGAATATAGAGAAAATCAAAATTCTAATTTTTAGTAATTCGTCTCATCATTATTGATCCATGATGGCCCAAATGGCCATGCCAAAGCACAAAAGTATTTAAATCAGTAAACTTCCGATTTACGATAGAGTGTGCTTCAACTGTACTAATCTTTGAATAGTATAAGCCAGAAGATAAAGTTGGTAACTTTTCTACAATGCACTTCTAGCGAGAAACATTCTTTGTAATACAAAGATATTCCATATTCATTTCATCTATCGTCTCAACATGTTACCCATTTCGGCGGATATCCATAAAACTCAACAAGTTTCTTCGGGACTTGGAGGAGAATAAT